AGGTGTGTAGCTGTGTCATGGTATTGTTGATACCATTTATGACTGTATTGTTGGTCCGAAGTGACGCTAATTAAAGTCAGCACTGTGCTCATATGCCCTCAATCTCAACAAGAAGTGTAGTAGTACTGGTACTAGCGCTGACGCTACCATTTGTCAGAGGTGTCGCTGATTAAAGCTAACGCTGGTGTTCATACCCCCTTGATCTCAACAAGCAGTGCGAATCTGAGTTTAAACTATTCCGAGTGAGTACATGTTTCGGGCCCTGAACACAGCAGAGGTTGCCTTGGTTTCCACCCTCTCACTTCTATCCACCAGGCTGTGTCCTTTTCTTCTAGCTTCCGTTGATAGTACAACACGCATAAACAAGAGATTTTGATCCGCAGCGTTTAATAGCGTAGAAAATTCTTTGGATATCAGGCAACGTTGGATTTTACCCATTTTCCTTCAGTAAACTACTTCGAGCTGAACTCTCTTTTTAGTCTGCAGCTTTTCGACTCAAATCAATTCAGTAAACAAAAATTACTACCTCGAATGTGTGTTAAACTGCCGCCTTCGCTTATCACATTTCATGAGTCGGGCAATCTACTGTAAGGCTCATGAAGTGTTTGCGCTACCAACAGCAATAATAATTCGGCGGGTCTGATCTGTAATGAGTATGCATTTTACGGTCTTAGAAAATCCCATAATTAAACCCATTTTAAAACCAAAATATACCCGTTCTTCAAGTATACTTCTTGAAGAAGACCAAATTTGTTGCCGGAAAAAATAATGCGGGAGGGCGCAGACGGCTGGCACGACAAACACCTAACACGCGTACCAAACGAGATCTGTGTCAAGGTGACCTCTATGTACTCTGTCGAATTGGTGCTGCTTTACAGAAGTTCAGCCGACGATCTCCGGTTCGGCTGCACCGTCGGCTCCCTTTCATTTTTTAGTTTTTCATCAGTAATGCCTGCAGCTCCCGTCTGATATGTGATCCGAATATATTTTTGTTCCAAGGTTGCCTACCGCTGGACAAAAATGGAATTGGCCCTCTTTCTGACGGCTCTATCCAAGCTCGGCGACGACTTTGCGGCCATTTCGCGTACTCTAGGAACAAAATCGGAGAGCTTCATTCGAGACTTTTATGAGGAATTTAAAGAAAAAGTTGGTCTTGACTGCCTTGTTAAGTAAGTCTTCATAACCATATGTTCGCATACCTTACTAAGTATTTCTGCGGTGATTGCTATT